TCTAAACAACATCCAAGTTGGAACCTAGTTAGTTTCTTTAGGGAGAGATGTTATGCCAACTTCTCCAGGAAATTCCTGGAGACCCAATCCAAGTTATCTACCAAGGAAATTGGGTGATTGTGGCTGTGCGTAAGTTCTACACCCGTCTATACAGAGGTCAGATGGTCGAAGGGGAAGCGCTCGCTGTATCCCAGGGAGTGAGACAACACACTAGAGTTAAGAATAAATGTTGTCTTTACTAAATGGTTTCATCAAACATACAAAATCGGAATCATACAATTTCACACAAGCTCCTTAGTTACAATAGCACATCAGAACAATTACAGCATAGAAAATAACAAAAGCATCAAATAACAAAGCATCAAATAAGGGGATGACACAATGGGGCACGGCTATACTCATCTGAGGTCCAAGCTGAAGAGGAACTCTCCTCCTTGGAAGGATGGGCAGCCAAAAGCAGCAGCTTGTGAACTCCAAGGCACACGGGCAGGACCAGCCAAACCACGTGTGAGCTCTCTGGGTCGCGACTCCCGGAGAACTTAGGTAGTAGAGTCACTTGTAGCACCTTAGTGCACTGCTATGGGGAAGGTGGGTTAACCAGAGAGACAAAGGAGAGTTTCTCCTTAAATAAACTCCTTTTTGGGGCATGTGCTATCTAGCCATAAACTATCAAATCCGTCCCCTAAACTACCACTACTGGCTGAAGAGGGGGTGACGAGGGGGTGACGTTGGCAAGGGGCAAGGGGGCAAGATGCAGATCTCCTGCCCTACTTCAAAGGAGGCCTGGTGGTGAGGTGTGAATCCTTCGTTCCCATGGACACCTTTGAGTTGCAGAGATGTAGCTCGCTCTCAGGCCATAAAATGCTATTGTCTTTAGATCCAGCATCAGATTAGGTGCAGAGGGTTACGTGATTCCTGGCATTCTGGCGATGTCGGGGTTCGCTGGGGGATTTTCCATAGCTCTCCGAGTGGGTGCAATGGCGCGGTGTCTCCTCTATCCCGATGCAGGACAGGATACCTTCTCCAGGGAAGCACATGGTCCGTATGTGCAACAGCAGCCCCAGGCCAGCCTATTTCTAGGCAAGCATGAGATGCAGAACAAAGCAACACAACCAAACAGCAGTCCCTGAATACACAATGCATAGACACACATAGACAGCATCACCACTATACAGAAATGCAAACATAGGCTCATATCGTAACAGAGAGCACCATTATTTTGTATGCACTGGTGCAAAGACGTATGAACAAACACTGAACTTCGATTGTAGGGTTAAATGGAGCAGTCCTTTGAAGTCTCCTGGATCAACGCCATTTAAAACTTTGATCATTTCAGAAAGCAATTTGCTATATTACTTTGTCTTGTTTCCCAAAGACTTTCACATTTCTTTTTAAAAATAAAAACAACAGGGATGCCTGGCACCATATTGCCGCCTTCTCTCCCACCTGTTACCCACTCTCCACTACTTTGCTCTGCTCTAAATGTAAGCCAATAGAACATGGTTGGAGGTGGAGGCCATGTGACACAACCACGTTAATGTGAATTTGGCTGCCTTAGTAACCTGATGAGGATATCAGAAGCTTGCTAAAATATTGAATTTATATTGACACAGCTGAAAAACTCCCTTGCATTGAATAGTGTACATGAAGCACCAAAGTGGATCAAATAACTCTTTCTGTGACCATTTAGGCTCAGGAAAATGGCGTCCCATGCCATGCTCCTAAAATGAATCAGGCTCCTGTGGACCTTTAAAAATGCTGCTGTGGGGCTGCAGCTGCCGTGGGGCTGTGGGGAAAGCATGTTGGGTCCGGGCAACCTGGACCTGATTCATTACAAAACATAACGTGTTGTTTGGCCACAAGAAACTTGCATTGTGAAAAGATACAGTCTGTTCTTAGAACAACACATGTACTTCTGTGGGGATGAACAATAAAGTCCTAAAGTTACATCCCAGGGAAAGGGAAAGTCAGGTATATGGTGATTGATTCATGTCACTGTGCCAAAGCTGTCAAAGGATACATGATGGGTCAAGTTTTAATTTAATTTTGAACTCTGTTTTCCATATATCTTTAAATTGATTGGTCAAGAGCCGGCTTGGAGGGAAAACTTTAAGCCTGCCCTCCTAGATTCTGATTGGGATGGAAAGGAAAGTCTCCAAGAGAATCTGTATAACTGTTAGCCTGGCCTGGAGCCCTGTGTAAAGACACTGAAATCAAAGGTGGGGCATGTCAGGCTGTGCCAGGATGCTCCATTGTGAACTCCATTGTGAAGAGAGGAATTTGAGGCTATGTTATGTGTAGGATTAGCTAGCAACGTACCTTTTCAGATGGTCTGTCTAGATTCTGCCTCCCTGGTCTTTATATTGATTGGTCTCATCTATCTGTGTTTTCTAAGATTTTAGTTATTAAAGATTAATTTTACTCAACACTTTTTAGCACAAGCTGATTGTGCATTAATCCTACTCATGTTCACTGCAGGCCGCTCTGCCTTGCTACACAGAAGGAACAAGTGCTGAAGGACAGCACAACATGGTCTTGCCCGTTGAAGACAGAAAGGGAAGGGGGGAGACCTCTGTTGATCTCTTTCACAGACACACACAAACATACACACACTCTTAAGCTTCTGGTATACAAGAGGACCAGGAGGGAGGTACAAAAGGGGTTTTAAAAAATATTAGAATTTTTAAAAAATCCAAAATGGGGTTAAAAGAAGGTGGGTTTTTTGTTTGTTTGTTTCTTGGTGGGGTTTTTTGTTGTTGTTGTTGGTAGCAGCTACTATTGTATTACAGCCCCCGGGAAAGAGGAAATGGGAAGGAAAAGGGTTTTTAATGCAACCAGTCCCCCTTGGTGCTTGGCAAACCTTGATGCAGGGCAGCTGAGGACAGAAAGGGTGGTCATGATAACCTGACATGATCAAAAGTGTAATAAAGCTATTGTGTCTGTAGTAAAACAGCTGAAAATATCCCCTGCCTTTGGAAGGTGACACCCATCAGCTAGTGGAAGAGGAACAGAAAACATTGGTAGCTGTGTGAATTTGAGCAGAGTTGGGGGAGAGCTTAGAGTTTAACTGGACCAGAAGTAGCCTGGGAAACTGCAGGGAGATCTTCTACTGTTGTTTGGGAATTTATTCCAAGTTAATGGTTGTATTGTCTGGTTTAGGAAGCAGGTAACTTCCAGTTTGCAATGCTTGTATAATTGTAAATAAACACACATTACAAAGACCCTCTAGTTTGAAACCTAAACCCTGCTTCCACTTGTGCAGAGCACCTTTCCATTGTGGAGGCAATTCTCCACTATGAAGAGTGTTCCCCTGGTGATAGGCACTTTGGCTGACACAAGACCAGTGTCTGTCAACAAGTCAAGAAAAAGCAAACGTCAGAGAAGTCTGCTCTGCAGCAGCTCCATGATGGACAAAGGGCTGTGCAGGCAGGAACAAGGCTTAGGATTCAAGCCCGTAAGTCCCTAGTGTTGTCTACTCTAAAGTAAATCATCTGGTGCTGATTCTGGAGCCTTTTAACTGTTGGGCAAGTACATAAATATATATGTAGCATCACTAGGGGGAAGGGTCTTGGATCAGTGGTAGCAAATATACTGGGCATGCAGAAGATTCCAGGTTCAATCCTAGCATCTCCACTTAAAGGCTAGCAAGAATTAGGAAAGACTTTTTTCTGCCTTTGACCATGCAAAGCTACTGTCCGTTAGCATAGACAATACTGACCAGTAGTCTGATTTCATAGCCCTGTTCACATGATGTATTGTGCACAGATGGAGAATGGGACTGAATATACCCCCATTAACAATCAAGCTCACTTGTCTTGACCCTATATATACAAGCTGTATGTATGTAGGCCCTAAGATTGGGAATATTTGAAAGGTAGCATTCTCAGTCATGGGGAATGAATCTATGTGCATGCAATGTATACAAGTGTAGGTGTGCTGTCCCCATAAGCTGAATGTGTATAGGTGGAAATGGGAGACAGTGAGTTTGTCCATATTCCCATTCTGTTCTGTAAACATTGGTCCTGTGTGCACATATGTTGCGTGCACAGGGCTAATATAAAGCAGCTTCATGTATTTGGTTCTTTGAAAAGTCTTTGCCATTTCACAAGAGAGAAGAACAGAGTTCTCCTGGTTTGATTGTTTGTTTTTTCATTAGGCTGTGCAAGACAGGTGCTATATGTACGTATTTCATAACATTATGAAGTCTGTTTTAAGATGGATTTATTTAACAAAGAAGAGAAAGAGATGTTCCAAACCTAGGGAGCAGTACTTGAGAAAAGGGGGTGAGCAAGGTGAATGAAGTGAGCCTGTAATAAACTTACTTTGTAAAACAGAGAGAGCAAGAATGGGATAAAGAAAAGACTGGAGTTGAGATGTCAGGAGCAGTGTGATAGAAAGGAAATACAAAGACTAGGAGTTCAGTGTTGACACAAAACTAAGGAATACTGGTGTAGAGACATTTGGATAGTAATGTGGTGATAAGAAAAGAGAGATAACTTCATTTATTTATAAAATTTCGGTGCTGTCTCTCCAGAAATCTGCTCAGAGCAAGACAGCTTCCTACTCTGGCCCGTAGCTAACATGGGGCCCACGAGGCCTGGCCCCCTAGTGTTTCTTCTGGGCCCCCTCCCTCCTGGGCTGCCCCCAAAGTGCTCCAACTTACCACCTGCACTGTACTTCCATTTAATTAGCTGGTGGGGCCCCCGAGGCCCCCTCCCAAAGAATTCCCTAGCTACGGGGCTGTTCCTACTAAAACAAAACCATTAAAATACTGGCACTCAAACTAAACAAAAGCCATTAAGACAAGCCACTGAAAACAACAAAGCATAAAAACATCAGAAAACCGCAGAAAAAGATGCTTTTTAATAGCAAATGGTTATTAAATTAATCAAAATGATCAAGATATGGAAAATAGGTTTAGCAATGAAGAACAGATTTTGAAAATGGGTGCAGGATTTGGCAAAAGCCTGCAGATAATATTATGGATTGCATGTTCACAGAATTTCTATGAAGCGGTCTTAAGAGTGCTGGGACATAAGGATGACAGTGACCTTGAAGAAGTAAAACTCAAGGAGGGGTTGAGTGAACTCCCAGAGATCTACAAGCTGCATCAAGAAATGCTTGGGGAGATGGAAGAAAAAGTCATCAACTGGTAAGAGCAGAGTTGCCAACTCTGGGTTGGGAAATTCCTGGAGATTTGAGGGTAGAGCCTGGGGAGGGCTGGGTTTGTGGAGGGTAGGCTTCTCAAGTCCCCCCGGGGGGCGGGGAAACCCCCGCCCCAGAGGCCCGTTCCCCACTGGTGGCGGATCGGGCCCTGGGGGGAACCCCACCCCGGTGTGCGCGTCACCAGGAAGTCACGTTATGATGCTGGGGGCGGGGCCATGGTCATCCAAGGCTCCAGCCTCGGACCGGGAATCCCCCGGTAAGTACATTTTTCGACTTGGCAACCCTAGTGGAGGGGAGGGACTTCAGTCGGGTATAATGCCATACAGTCCACCCTCCAAAGCAGCCATTTTCTCCAGGGAAACAAATCTTTGTGGTCTGGAGATCAGCTGTAATTTGGGGAGGTTGGCAACCATAGGTAAGAGACAGATTGAGGCCTGTTTACCCCCTAGGGACAGCATCCACAAACATTCATATCCTGAGCCTTCGGGGTAGGGTGGGATATAAATTCAAATATAAATAAATAAATAAATAAATAAATAAATTCAGAAGTAACAGAGAGAAGTGGGTAACCCCAAGAAGCAGACAGACCTTTATCCTAATACATGAAGTTTTACATTATATCTTTGACAGAAACGAGATAGATGGATGTGTTATCATTACACTTAAGCTTCATGTTAGTAGATTCTAGATCTGTTGCCTCCACTATTAAATTAGGTGTTCCTCTTATGAAAAAGATAGTTTTCATACTTCTAAAAGGAGGCTAGTAGGGTATGTTAGTTGAACTAAGCTTGGAGAGACCTGAGTTCACCTTCCTGCTTGCAATGAAATTCCCTGAGGGACAGTCTTCTTTACTTCAAAGGGTGATGGTTAGTATAAAATAGAGGATGGGAGAACCATTTATGCTGCCCCAAAGTCCTTGGAGAAAAGGTAAGATAAAAATATACTAAATAACAAGTTGTAACATTGTACTGATAATTTAAGCAGGTTCTCTGACTTCCCAGATTTCATTAAAAAAAAAAAAGAGTAAGTCTCTAGCCCTCTGCCTCACGGAGATATGCCTTCCTTATATCTCCTCAAGGGAAAAAAACTAGAGACTTACTCTTTAAAAAAATGAACGCTGGGAATTCAAAGAACCTGCATGAAATATCAGTACAACACTACAGCATTGTGTCAGTGTTTTAGGGACATTTTTTAAAAGGGGGTTGCTCTGGCACCGATAATGACACCAATGACGACAGCACCCTTCCTTGGAAATTCTCATTATTTAAGCCACACGCGGAAGAAAATAAACTTACTCTGCAACTGTAAAAATGCACAGAGGAGCAGTTATGCAGAAGTACCCACTAATTGTACTTTTAAACAAATTTTATGTAAATGAAGAGAGAGATGCTGAACCAGGGGAAAGCAGATGTTTCAGCAGGTTTTCCTGTCACCGGACCTTTATTGTGGCCTGCCAACCTGAAAGCCCTTTTACTTTTGAGATCCCAGGCAAAAGCAGGTTTATGAAACTCCTGGTGTGCTGTGCTAGGCCTCGTAAGCCACACGCTGTGCAGGCCTCCAGTATTGCTGTCCTCTGCGATCCAGTTCTTCTGGTGTACTATTACTTGTTTATTGTCTGTGAAAATCAGATTTCTGCATAAGTGATTCTCTTGTCATTATAAGATAAAGGCTGATGAATACAAATATCTGCAAGCAGCACAGTAGGGCAGTGTGATTTTTCTTGTTCCTCATTTGTTTGTTTTGATACTGTTTTAGGGAAGAACACCAGAAAGTAGCCGATGTTTTCCTAACTAGGGAGTCCAGGTTTAGCCACCACACAGCTTTCATTATGCAGTTTGATAGGAATTTGGCTTTGCTGGATGGATCCTGGCTTAAATCTTCCCAGCTGGATGCTGTCATTCAGGAGTTTGAGGTAAGGCCTCTCTTTGTTCTTTCCTCACACTAATTTATGGTTCTGGTGCTGTGCTGTCTTTGAGGTAGCCCTGTCCTCCATTCTGTCAGAGTTCAGACAGGATATGGAGAGAGGTATTAACTGTGACTGGACTCAGGTGTGGCTTTTAGATGGGCAGTAAGTCTAGAGGAATACAAACACACAGTAGGTCTGTGTTCATTCATGCAAGTGAGCACTAATTCTAGTGCAATTTGTCCTTTTATGTATGCATCATCCTCATCAATAATAATAATAATAATAATAATAATAATAATAATAATAATAATAATAATAATAATATCATCTCATTTTCTATTCCCACATGTAGCTTGTGGCATTAGGGAAGGAAAGCACAAGAATCATGTCAGAAACATTTTTTTGCTCCATTATCTAATAATGTGGATGCCTGTATAACTGTCTGTCCCCCATGTTGCTCTATCTTGGCTTTTGTTCTATACTCTTCCCCTGGTGAAATCTCTTCATTGTTCTTGTCTCATACTCCACCATCTCCAACTTCCTGATGCAATTTCTGTTTTTTTATTCCTCTGCCTCCTCTCCCCCCCAACAGAAAAATTCAGGTATCATTGTTAGTGGTAACACTCAGGGCTATTTTTGGGCAGGAACGCACAGGAACGGAGTTCCGGCTGGCTTCAGAGTTGGCCACGCCCAATACAGCCAAAACCTCTGCATGCGTGGCTACAGAGGGAAGGCCTGGAGAGCGACCCCCCTGGTGACTCCAAGGCGGGCGGGCCAGGGGTGCCCCTGGAAGGATCAGGGAGGCATTTAAATGCCTCCCCATGCCTTCCCCGGCCTGTCCAAGGGCTGGCTTGCCCGGGCTCCCCGCAGCCATGGAGCACCTGGACAAGTCAAGGGAAGGCATGGGGTGTTGCCTAATATGCTAATGAGTTTCTGCTTTTGGGTGTGGCTTGTTATGCTAATGAGTTCCTGCTGGGCTTTTTCTACAAAAAAAGCCCTGGTAACACTGTAACATTTACAATGCGCAAAACACTGTACAGTCTTACTTTGTTCATTCTTATGTTAAGCTTTCAGTGAGGATCAGAGACCGAGGGCTAGTTTTTAATTTCCTATCTGAGCTGGGATTTGAGCCCAAGACAGAAGGCCAAGTGCTCTAGTCACAGGGCTTCATTAGGGCCATGTTCCCATGGGCAATTATTTTCAGTGTAACACGTATACACGTTAGTGCTTCCTTCTCTTTAACTTCTGCACTGTTCACACTGAGAACTGCACTGCATATTTTGAGAAGTCACAGAAAGTGTAAGTCACTAGCAGGGTTATATGCAAGGAAGAAGCTTGCACATCTCTCTCATGGAGATGCCTCTGAACTTCAAATGTCAGGAAATGATCCACCCAGATGCATTTAGTGCCCCTATGTCCCTGTGCACATTTCCTGATGTAGGAGACACAATTTGTACCTCACCCCTCCTGTCTGCTTCTTACTGCACTAAACTACAACTCCTGATGGGGCAGATGCACACTGACTGTCAGCCTTAATATATATCAGTTTTTCCATTTGCAAAGGGTAGGGGTGGAGAGGTAGTAATATTTACTTATGTGACAGAAAAGGTTATGAGGATAAATTGGCTGCTGTATTTTTAATGTTGCTTGGGCTGTCAACTCTTTGAGATATGGATTATGTCTTCCTCGGCAGCGCATCTGAAATATTAATAATGATAATTCATTAAAACGGCCATTCGTCAACATTTGCCCAAAGATATTTCACTGTCTGATCCCTGTAGAACAGGTAGCCTACAGTGTTATGAAGCCCTTGCAGGAAACTACAGATTTTCTAAATTTCAATAATTGCTTTTTACATTCTCCCCAGCTAAGCCACCTGGGGAACTGTATGTCCTTGTTGCCCAGAGGTGCTATATGCTGAGTCCAAACACTCCTGGGATCCAAGACAATGAGAATAGCTAAAAAAAGGAAAGTGTGCTATTAGAATAATCACCAGCAGTCGTAGGTCCATTCCGCATTTGCCTGCTAGTCCAGATTTTCTCAGTGTTCGATTTGAGGCAATTTAAGTCCACAGCAAAACAGCATCCAAATAACCCTGAAACTGGGCTGACCACTGAAGGGAAGTAATATAATGCAGAATTGGGGGGGGGGGCCCAGAATAAAAAGAACTTGATTTTAGTGCAGAATTGCTTGGAGGACACTGCAATGAACATGGATTAAAAGGAGAGTGCAGAAAGGGCCATATGCTCACAGGGTGTGTGTGGGGGTGTGTGAGAGAGAGAGAGAGAGAGAGAGAGAGAGAGAGAGAGAGAGAGAGAGAGAGAGAGAGAGAATTTTCCCCAGGGAAAGTTTGTAGTTTTTTGAGGTGGGCTAGTGATGTATTCTCTGAGGGAAAAGACAGATGTGGGGTCTAAAGTGTGGTGGAATGGCTTGTCACCCATTTGCTACATCCAAATCATTTGTTTTCAGGGAAGAAAATGTGTATTCAAGCCACTTCCACTGCATATAATGCATACCTTTCTTCACCTAACAGAGGCTTTTCATCAAACTACAATTCTTTGGCTTCTTTAGGGGAGCCAAACTGGTACAAAATTTCTTTTACGTTTCTCAGATGCTTCCTATCCAGTTCCGATAACACATATACTCTTCTCTCAGTTCACCAATCCAGAGGTTAGGACCTGGACCTGCCTCGAGAAAGGTCTTGGTTCTCTTTGAGTTTATGGTTGGCAGTTGGATGTGCTCAGCTCCCTTGGGAGTAATTGAGAGCCTTGCCTTAATCCAGCTCAAGTTGTCTGGCCCATAAATCAGTAGAGCTCTTCTCCAGTTGCCTTTGGTGTGTTTCAGATCAATGGTTCTCCCTCTGCCCTTTTCCGTCTCCTCTGCAATGCCCCAGGAAGCAGGGTCAGAATGTATTTCACAGGAACATCGTGGCCCCTAATATTAAGCAAGGGATTAAAGTTGCAGTGTTAATGCTTTTTATCAGCCTTTTGTGTTGCCCCTCAGTTCGACTACAGTTGGAGTTAATGGGATTTTTATTTGAGCCATAAATCTGGTCAGAAGCTTCCTGAGAATCCTTCTCTCCACTCGCAACTGTATCCAAATAGAAATAAATATAAATATTAGCACCATTTAAAGGTAAGGAGGCGATTCTCTCCTATTTTGAAATTGGCTCTAGTGTTAACGCTTTTTAAAAATAGGAGTGCAAACTAGGGTTGCTGTTGCCATTCCGGACCACTCCTCCTGTGCATTTATGGTAGTTGCAGGATGAAGAAACACAACAGATGTTGCTTTCCCTGTCACTACAAATCTAATGTTAAGAAAAACTGCACCAGTTGGAGATCTGACAGCTAGGGTTTCCACCTCTGGGTTGGGAAATTACTGGAGATTTTGGGGGTGGTGTCTGAAAAGGGTTTGGGGAGGGAAGGGACCTCAGTGGGGTATGATGCCATAGAGTCTACCCTCCAAAGCAACTATTTTCTACAGTGGTGCTGATCTCTGTAGCCTGGAGAGAGCTCTAGTTTCCATGTGGAGTCTGGCAACCCTACAGGCCTCTGTAAGGCAAGGAGAACACAACTTTCATGCAAACATGCTGAATGTTTGGTTTGTTTGCTTGTTTTTGACAACAGTTGAAAATTAGATGGCAGCCCGTGGGGCAGTAGGCTGTGGCACCACCATCCCATTAGAGACATGGCAGCCTGGGTTGTTGCAAGTTGTTAAGGACCTTCCATATGTCAGATGATCATTGTGAGCCTTTGGCTGTGTGTTCTAGGTACTTGGATGCAGGGGAGGATTAGGTTGTCAGGTCCAGGCTGGGACCATCAGCAACCCAAACCAGATCTGTAGGGCATTTCTTGAATATAGTGTGCCTGAGGTCATTTAGGGTCTAGTGCTGCAGGCCAGAGGCTTGAGCTGGATCTGGAGATAGAGAGACAACATAAACTGCAGTATTCTGTTGATCAGGGAGCCATGCAGACTGCCAGTATAAAGGCCTAATGCGGACTGTCCCAGTTCCCTTCTGTATCTGAAGGGAACTCTGAGGTGTGAACCCACTCAGGTAGCTCACTGTAAACTGGGATTCACACATTATAGGGTAAACAAGTTGGGTATGGGGTCCTCACCCTGTGACCTGTATAACTGTCATACGTGACATGAAGGTTTCAACAGACGTCTCCCCTCTTCCTGACCTGAGATGATTGGGGGGGGGGAGGCTATTGAGAATGCTGCAGGTGTACATGTGGGTTTCCCCAATGGGCTGAATAGCACACCCCTGGGATCACTGAAAGTCAGGAAAACAGAATGGTGGGGAGGCTGAAGCCCCTTCTCCATGTATACCAGAGTCACAATCCAAAACAGGTTACCTCATGCATGGAAACTGAGAATGTACAACTCACTTATGACTGTTACAAAGAATACAGGGTGGTGATCCCTGGGCTAACTCTTGAACTCTGTAATATGTGAATTGGGACTCAGGGCATGTGGTCCCACCCCAAAATCTATGACAGTGGAGCTCTAGGGAGGGAGGTCATTACTTTTTTTTATGATGAGGATTCTGATGAGGTTTTGTGTGTTTGTTTTTTGCTTGTCAGAATGGAATGGATTTGTAACACAGATGTAAAACCTGTGCTGGCAAGAATGGCCATTCAGTTTCTCTTCCACATTCTACATGAATTAGGAAAATTCAGATGTAACATAAATAGCAGGAGAGATGTTGAAAGGTGCCTTTATTTAAAGAGGTGTGAGTTGTTGAGCTTCTGCCTGTCTGTGTCTCCCCCACATAATCAGTAACAATTAAAGGTGGTGTTTGACATCAGTATTAGCAATACCTGACTCAGCTTCCCTCACCCCCTTACCCAGCTCTGTGACAAAATGTTTTGAACTGACTGAATTGAAAATTGGCTAGCCTATTTGTTTCTTTGCCAAGTCTCTGTGTATTTTTCCATGTTCCTGGTTATATTTGGAGCTACTGTGTTATGTGTGTCTGTGGGAGAATTAAACACTTTTCCTTTGCTAATGAGTCTCTAACTCCTGCCAAAAATTATATATTCAAAAGGGAAAAGAAACAGCCTGCTTCCTGCTCCACAGGTACCTCTGTGATTTTTTTTGCCTGCATTTCCTCTGGAGACTGGTCCTTCAGCTGTTTGGTACTATTTTTCAACAGGTCACAGTGAACTGGAACACTGTTGAGATCACTGGGTCATGTCTCACCAGATGTGTCAAACAGTCATGATGTCACACCTGTTTTCTCTGTTTGGGCTATGATAAGCCACTAAGCATATGCCAGGCCCCTGCAGTTTGCTTCAAAGTCATAAGCACAAGTTGAAGGCTACTTCCTTTATGGACTTCTGTACAGGGTGAACGTTAAGTTCTCCTGGAAAAGTTCTTGGCTTTGACATGAGCCATGGGCTGTTCATGTGCATTATCACACTTGTGGCAAAAAGGTGCAAACAATATCCTAGAGATAGTTAAAGGGACATGCATGTTATGCATCATGTGTGTCCATAAGCATTTGTGGAAATATGCTGTAAGTCAAGCTAAAGATGTGAAGGGATGGGGGGGGGGAATGGAAATGTGGGGGTGGAGTAGCTTTATCCTCTGTTTCCCCCCCCCCAAGCCTTTTTAAAAATTTTCAGATGGAAAAAATGGAAATTTGGGAGGGTACTGTAAAAAACTCCTACAAAATATTTTCTCTTTTAGAATGTGTGAAATGTTTTATATGACAAGATGAGAATGCTGTAGACATGATACAGCTCTTAAATCCAATATGCATTTCTACACATAGGATACCTAATCTTCATGAGGGAAACATGCAGTCAGTCTGGGTTTCATAGGATGCTAAATATTGCATATGTTTCATTTCCCCCAAAAAATCTCCAGAAATTTTACATCTCTAAAATAAGCTCAAAGTAGGAGATGGCACCTATGACAGTCCCTATAAGTTGGAGGTTCATGAGGACTTGCAGGGGGAGGGAATAAATCATTGGCAAATTTCTCCATGACATGTATCTCCCCTTCCAGAACACTGTTGGTTATATCTCGCCAGCTTTTCCTCTCAGTTCTTCCTCCTATCTCACTTGGCTTTTGCCCATACAGGTCCCATGATTATATGGATTGTTTGTGTTTTTAACTGATGCTTGTATTTATGTTTTATTGTGTTTGAATACTGCTTGTCAGTTTTGGAAGCCGCCCTGAGCCCGCTTGCGGGGAGGGCGGGGTAAAAGTGGAATGAATAAATAAATAAAAATAAATGATCCCCAGAGGCTGCTGCCACACACGCTAAATAATCCACTTTCAATCCACTTTCAGTGCACTTTCCAACTGGAGTTTTACTGTGTGAACTGGCAAAATCCACTTTGAAAGTGCACTGAAAGTGGATTGAAAGTGGATTACTTAGCGTGTGTGGCAGCAGCCAGTATAGACTTTTTTTTGTACTAGCGGAAAAACTGGTTAGATTCAACCCAGCAAGTTTTAGTTGCTTCAGTAGGCCAATTTCCCCAACAAACATTTTCTCCCCCCCCCACCCATTGGCACTGAACTGCCCTCAACATTCCATGGCTCCTAGAGCATACCCCGTCCTCATAAAACTACTTGGGAAATGGAGTTGTTTTTATTATTATTACTCAAGTAAATATTTTCTGCATACACGTAGAGTCCTCCAAGTGTGCAGAACTTTGTACTTTGTCTGTGGGGGATTCTTTTTACTGCCCTCTTGTTAGGCACTCAGCTGTTGCTGTTAGCAGGAATTATGTGCTAGCATACCTGTCCTCCATGTCTTGACATAGCTTTGCCTGAATAAAAGAGTATGGAGGATCATAGCACTGGAGTAGCAATAGGAATGCAGAATTCACTGAGTATTGCAAAGGACAACCTCCTGTGTTGTTGTAGCATCCCCGTCAGGGAAAATTGGCTGTTTTTCTAAGATCACAGGGTCCCAGAGATAATCCTTACAAGCCCTCCTGCTGGTCCACTGAGATGTTTTATACATGTGGCCATATATAAAATGTCTCAAAGGAATGGGTTTCTAGGATGCATCCTGAAGATTTGCTCTGCAGCTACCAATAAAGCAGGCGATGTGACTTCTTCCACTTGAACCTTTTTGTCTACCCTTCCTTCTCCACCATTGATCATAGTCAAGACTGCATGTATATCACATCGCAGCTAGGGAAGGAATGAACAAAAAAACTGGGGAAGGACAGAGTGGCAGAAACCGCAGATGCTATATGTCAACAGGCAATCCTGGGGGCAGAAATCAAAAATATTCCATTAGTATTTCACTCCAGGTATGTGCATTCAGACATTAAATAATCAAACCCAAACTGCAAATTCTCTATTAGTTGATATAAATATGATAACTCATCAGAACCGAAAAATTAATGAAGTCGTTAATTGGAATTTTGTGGAGCTGGCCATTATTCTGCTGCTTAGGTGTTCGGACTGACGTTCAAGGTCAGAAAAACAACAGGGAGAGTGGTTCAGTAGATGCATAACATAAAGGGATGTTTTCCCGTCAGCAAGCTACAGACACAATGAAATCCCAGCAATGCTTCCCTGGGAATAAGCCCCATTGAGTAAGCCTGAGCAGGATTCTGAGATGATCTGTTTAGAATCCACGGATGGCTCTTGCCACCAAAGAGGATTGCATTGATAGGTTCATCTTTCCAAAGTGCATGGATTTTTGGAGATATTTACTGTCAGGCATTTGAGGCTACATAGCGTTTTATCTACTGCTTATAGATTCTGACCCTTCATACTTTTTTTCCTTCTCTTGAGAACAGCAGGTTCATGACAGCAGTCCCTTGAATGTGAAACATCAGCTTCTGAAAGTGGTGCAACGAATATTCCAATACCACGTGCTTCTCACAGGTTAGCAACACTGAAACCTTCCACCCTCATGACAAGAGTGCCATCATTAGCCTGGTTTTGTGCTTAAATCTTAACTGTCAGACTGTGAACCATTTTTAGGTTATATGCCAAATATGTCACTGTGTTTTGCCTTTTTAAAGTTCTTTTTAAGAAAAAGGAAAGAGAACGAAAGACAGAAAGATACAAAGTGCAGGGGAAAGAAAGAATGGGGAAAGATGAAAAATGGAGGGGGGGAAGAGGGAAAAATTATATATGTGGTTAAAAAAGAGTAAAAGTATTCTATCATGTTGTAGATAGGTCTGCTGTGAGCCACCTTGGGCCCCTAGGCAAACATTCCAGCTGCCCCCCTATCTGGCCCTGATTAAAACCAAATTTCATAAGAAAACAAATCACTTGACTTCCTGATAACATGAATAGAACAATAATAATTGTTCATCATGTAAGAAACTGTTAAGAAAAAAGGACAGGGTTATTAAAAGATAGCTTTTACTTACGATTCATGCTGTGCAGATTGCAATAGGATATGGTTAAAAAAAAATCAAGCAGCATCAGAATGACTTCACAGTTAAGGCACCTAGAATGTTGAACTGCACTATAAATTAAATACAGATGAGAAAATTAGCCCCATTGAATGAAATGAGACATCATTCTCTCCCAGAAAGTACTCAATTGAAAAAATGCTTTAAAATGTTTATGCTTACCTAAACAGGAAAAAAGCAAATGCATAACAACATCTAGATCAGTGGTGTTGAACTCATTTGTTAAAAGGACTGGATCTGACATAAATGTCACTTTGCCAGGTCAGGCCATGTGTGCCATAAAATATAATGCCAGGTGTGGAAGGACACAGGCAAACCCAATTAACAATATTATTTTTTACTCAAAATACAAACTTGCTCAAAACGTTAACATCCTTACAGTATTTCCTTAAAGTATCTCCCTGATGCCTACCCTCCCATTTCCACCACCCGTTACTCATTAGCACTGGGACACTATACAGGGACATAATGCACATCCTCTGTTATCTGGCAATAAAGGGAATGACCAGTTGCTCATGGGCTGGATAAGAGCCTGGATGGGCTGGTTCTGGCCCACAGGCCGTATGTTTGACACCTCTAATCTAGATGCTTAAAGGGAAGGGGGAGATGTAAAAAGTCAGTGGTATCCTCCATATCTCTGCAATGGAAATGGCTAGACACATACTTGTTTCTTTTTAAATAAAAGCTGGGAATTTTGGGGACAACTACTGCTTAGCTGTAATAGAAGCACATACAAGACAAAACAATGTCTTAAGAACAAGGTTGATATGGAGGACAGTTCCTATTTGAGTTTAATCTTTACAATCATATATAGTTTGATCAAGAAGACTAAATACTATTGCTTAGGTATCTCCTAGAGAAAAATCTTCTTCTCTCTCCTCATATCCCATATGCAGCTGTGTGGTTCAAGGAGTTCTAGGGTTGCCAGGTCTGATTTTTTTCCCCAATGGGGGACTTTGGGAGGCTTTCCTGGAGGGGGCGGGGTGTCCCCAACATGATGATATCACCTTGGGGATGTCCCGCTTCAAGCCCCGCCTCTCCCAAACCTCCTGCAAGATTTAAAGGGCCTGCCAACCAGATGGAGCAGGCTGGCAGTGTTTAAAGGGGCCCTTCAAGCGCTTCCAGCTGGTGGGGTCCCACACCTGCTTGGAGACCGGGCGTGCAGGGCCTGTCCCTTTAAAGGGACTCTTTAAGTGCTTGCAGCCAGTGAGGCCCCCTGTGCTCACAGCCACCCCCTCTCTCCCCTCTGGAAAATTTAAAGGGCCCTCCAGCCACAGTGCCATTTTCTTTACCGATGGTGGCCTTAATCAAATTTACTTGAAGCTATGATAACAATTTGCCCGCATTTTCATTTAGCAGGAAAACCAAAAAAGCATAACATGTTTTTGAGTAGTAAGAACTAAAGATATTCTTGTCTGTACTCCGTAACTGGAAAGCACTTGCCTGATTTTGTTGCTGTTCAGTTGCACGGTCGAGTCCGACTCTTCGCGACCCCATGGACCAGTGTGAGGTTGCCGTTGTTGCTCACCAGGTTCTGCTCGGGGAGGCGTCCTGGGGGAGGGTTGAGACAAGAAGAAAGGAGGCAAAAGGAAACCTCAGACAGGCAGGGGATCAGGTTAGGTTCACCTGGGATAGCCCTCTGTCTGCACAGACTAAACCTTCAGCCAGTCAGGCTATGGGGATGTGTGTCTCTCTGAGCTTCAGGTACTGTCCCCAGTCTCATCTGTGTCTCGTTCTCCTCGATCTCCAGCCTCTCTTTCCTCTTATACCCATGCCCCGCTCCCAGCACCCTCTTGTGTAACAGCCCCATCTTTCCCTGCTTAGCCCCACCCCCCTTTATAACATTCCACGCTGACTGCTCTGGAGGGGCGGCTCCTCCTTCCTGCTGTTGATCGCTGGGTGTGGAGGCTGCTTTCTGCTCTGCGAGCTGAATTCCACTCCTCCCTCCCTCGTCTCTTCTTTCCCTTTCATTTCCCCTTCGTTGTTCTCTAGTATGCCTTCTTGCCCGAGCCCTGAGCTCTGTGCAGCTTCTTTCTTCCTCCCGTGGTTGCAACTCCTGTCAAACTGCCTCCGTATTTGATGCCGACGGTCTGACTTCCCTTTCAGGTGAGTTAGCCCATTTGGGGTTGCTCCCGGCCAGTCCTGGGAGGGCGGGAGGCGGCTGACCGGGACAACTAGATAAAGCCAAGCCCTCCTGTCTTCCGCCGTCCTCTGAAGTTTACTCAATTTCATGTTCGTTGCATCTATGACACTGTCTAACCATCTCATCCTTTGTCGTCCCCGTCTTCTTTGACCTTCAATCTTTCCCAGCATCAGGGTCTTCTCCAGTGAGTGCTCCCTTCTCATTTTGTGGCCAAAGTATTTGAGCTTCAGTTTCATTATCTGGCCTTCCAGGGAACAGTCAGGGTTGATTTCTTTTAGGATTGACTGGTTTGATCTTCTTGCAGTCCAAGGGACTCTCAAGAGTCTTCTCCAGCACCATAGTTCAAAAGAATCTATTCTTCGGCACTCGGCCTTCCTTATAGTCCAACTCTTGCAGCCATACATGACTACTGGGAATACCATTGCTTTGACCATGCGGACTTTTGTTGGCAGGGTGATGTCTCTACTTTTTATCATGCTGTTTAGGTTTGCCATCGCTTTCTTCCCAAGGAGCAGGCGTCTTTTAATTTCATGGCTGCTGTCACAGTCTGCAGTGATCTGGGCTCCCAGAAACATGAAGTCTTCAAGCTAGATGGCGCCAAATATATTTTTGCTCCTCTGGACCTATATTCACAGAACAGAGTGGGCCATCTCTGATCTAGAAAATCATTTATCTTTGCTCATTTTCAGCAAGCTTGTTGAACTCTGCCACTGAGTGAACATATTCTTTATTTCACAAGCTGCAATTCATGTTTAGGTCCCATTTATGTCAAGCATATTTTTCTAGACAGTGGATAAAAGACAGTACCCTTGCCTTAAATCTCATTTTCCCAGTAGAGAGAGTAGTTTCCTAAGAGGTGTTCTCAGATGACCCTCCCCTTAAAAGGCCACTGCATCTCACAACAGAGCTTCATAATTCTCAGCAGTGTTGCTTTTATTTATATTGCTAAACAAAAATGATGAGATGTATTACAAGATTGATCGAGGATGACCAGCCAAAGAACCACAGCTGCAATGCTTGTGACTTACCGTGCACATTTGGGAGAAAAAAATTACTGTAGACAGCAGTGAATCATTAGGAAGGGCTACGCAAGCCACCAGAGACAGCTTTTGTGTGAAGTCCAACCAGACACTGCAGTTGTTGCAATAGTTCTTTCCTTTGTCCAAAGAGGCCCAGAAATTATAGATTCTCTCATCAACCTATTCCAATTAGTTTATAAAAGCCTACATTAAACCTCATGTAGATGTGGAGTAGGTATTTTAACATAACTCCGTTGGAAATCAGTTTGTTTCATCTATATTTAATTCATCAGAGGAGTTTCGACTCCAAGTGAAAATGAATTAGAACAGAATTAATTCAGAAAAAAATTAGTGGACGAAAGCATTACTTCCATTAGATTAACCAGTCCAGAAGTCTGATTTTTTAAATCCCATTTTTAATTCACACAAAACAAAAACAAATCTGCAAAAAAATTAGTAGTAGTATTAGCCTATTCCCTATGATGTAAGGCTCTAGGAAATGTACAACCATTAAAAGCAATTTAAAAACAACCCCCCAAAAAGGATGACTACATTATATCAGATGGCACCAGACAATTTCTTCGCTACCCCGCTCTGGACTGCGTCACTGACTTGCAGGCAGGTGAGGAGAGGGCTGAAGCGAAGATAGAGCCAGCTATGATGGAACCGTTGCTGTCCTCAATCAAAGGCCTGGTGGAACATCTCTGCTTTACAGGCCCTGTGGAACTCCATTAAGTCCCATATGGCCCTGGTGGTATTTGGCAGAGAGTTCCACCAGGTCGAAGCCAGGGCTGAAAAGACCCTGGCTCTGGTCAAGGATAGTTGGATGTCTTTAGAACCTGGGACCACCAGTAGATGGTTCTCAGCAGAGTGTAATGGTCTTCCGGGGACATACCAGAGGAGGTGGTCCTGAAGATACACAGGTCCCAGACCACTCAAGGCCTTGAAGGTTAACACCAGAACCTTGATCCTGACTCGATATTCCACTGGGAGCCAGTATAGCCGGTGAAGCACCAGTTGTATATGTGCTGTCTGTGGTATTCCCATCAGGACTCATGCCACCACATTCTGGACCAGCTGGAGCTTCTGGGTCAGTCTCAATGGCAGGCCAGCATAGAGTGGGTTACAGTAGTCTAGACTGGAGGTGACTGTTGCATAGATTACAGTGGCTAGGTTGGGGCACAAAAGGAAAGGGGCTAGTTGCTGAGCTTGGTTTAGATGGAAAAATGCCAACCTGGCAATGTTCTTGACTTGGGCCTCCATAGTTAGGGAGACATCCAATGTTATGCCCAAACTCCTGATGGATGGCGCTGGTACCAGTGGTGCCCTATTAAGAGCGGGAACTCTATAACCCAATCTTGAAGCCCCCCCCCCAAGCCACAGCACCTCCATCTTTGTCAGATTCAGTCTCAACATGCTCTTTTTTAACCACCCCACCATGGCCTCCAAACCCTCGGCCAGATTGTCAGGTAGCTGTCCAATAACTAATATAGCTGGGTATCATCAGCATACTGGTGACACCCCAGCCCAAAACTCTGCAGCAACTGGGTGAGGGGATGCATATATATGTTAAATAACATTAGAGAGATGATTGCTCCCTGGGAAACCCCACACATCAGGGGGTACCCAGGTGACACCCTCTCCCTAGCACTACCCTCTGTTTCTGACCACAGAGAAATTAGGTAAAACCATTGTAGGCCTCCCCCACGAACTCCCACGTTGGTGAGGCAGTGAGTTAGAAGATCACAATCAATGCTGCTGTGAGATCTAACAAGAGCAGCAGCACTGACCTGCTTTGATCCAGCTGACGACAGAGACTGTCTGTCAGAGTGACCAACACCATCTCCATCCCATGGCCAGGGCAGAAACAAGACTGGAATGGATCCAATGCCGATGTGTCATCCAGAAAACTCTGGAACTGCTAGGCAACTGCTGTCTCAATCACCTTGCCCAGACTGGGTGGTAATTGGCAGGATCCTTTGGATCCGAAGATGGTTTCTTCAACAGCAGTACTATCACAGCCTCTTTTAGGTCCTCCGGATAGACCCCCCCCCCCTCTTGTTGTATGAGTTCTTGAACAGTTTCAGACCTTCATGTTGGTGTTTAGGAGCAGGATGCATAAGGACTATGTGATTTCCCTTTAACAGCATCACATCTGAAGTACCTTTTTGCAAGGCAGGGAGTTTTCTCATGTACATTGGTACACCAGATGTGCATTTCTGAATTAGTAGAGAAAGAAGACAGTCAAAAAACAAATGGCTTCATTTGGCAAAACATGTTTTAGCACAACATTTCATTTTCATTCTTGGGCCATTTTAACCCAGAAAATATCTTAGCCTTCATCCTGGACTTAAGGTTCTTGTTGAACTCCTCCTTGGAGCATGGCTTCGGTTATTCATTAGTGAGGAAGGAAGTGCCCTTCAGAGGCTCTTCCTGCTTCTAAATTAAAAAAAAAGTTAATGTGGTTACCTGATCTGGTAAATTTACACACACAAAAGAGGAACACAAGTTTAGCATTGCTTCACAACTGCAGCCCTACCAACTCCAGAATTCACCGGCTAACTCTTGTAGTTCTCTGCTAACTCCCCCCTCCCACTTGCACATATTGTTTATCTGATTAGAAATGGATCAGGGGAGCTGCCATTTGCCTTGTTGGGGAACACATAAAGGTATCCATATGTTCCCCAGTGGGTTAAACAGTGCCTCCTCCTCCTGACTTTGTCTGATCCGGAGAGCCACATGGGTGCCATATTTCAACCCCATCTTCCCTTGTACCATGGTCCCAATCAGAATTGGGCTCTCATGGATGATATTTTTTAAAAGATAGCTCCATACATGGAACTCCCAGTTGTTGGATCCTGAGGACCATGCAAAGTCAATGTGAATTTGTACACTACATATTTTATTTTCAAATCCCAAAGCAGAGCCCAATCTCAATTCAAGCAAATCTCTCCCTTATTATAAAGGAGTTTTGGGTGCCAGAATTCTAAAATGCGCCCCGTTAGTGTATGGGCGGAAAACATGCCACTCAGAAGAGCTGCCTCCAATGACTGGCTCCCTCAGCCAGCCTGCCCTGCCATTGGCTGGGTGGCTGGGAGGGGAGGGAGCCAGTCATCGGAGCCAGCGTCTTCTGAGCGGCCATCTTCCCGCCCATAGACTAAGGGCCGCTTTCAGCCCAACGGCGAACGGAGCCATAGTATTGGCCTGGAGGCCCCGTCCGCTGGCTGCCCCCCCCCGGGCCACTCCAGGCTGGCGAACGGGGCCTGGAGGTCCCGTCCGCCGGCCTACCCCCCCTCCAGACTGCCAAACGGGGCCTGCAGGACCCGTCAGCCAGCTTCCCCCCACCACCACCCCACTACAGGCCGGCGAATGGGGCCTGCAGGCCCTGTCCGCTGGCTTCCCCCCCCCACTCCAGCCCGGCAAACGGTCCGCCAGCTTCCACCCACCAACTCATGGCCCACCCACACATCCTACCTTTCTAGGGCCCGTTGTCTTCCTCCTCAACGGGCTTCACGGCTAGTAAAAGTATATATCTGAAAAAGTGTTTGAAGTTACATTCCACAAATCAGTTAAGAATGATCTTTGGTCTGAAGTGGTTATACTCCATTCTCTGAGCGGAGACAGAAATGGCTTCACTAATCTAGGGTCTGGGCTGAAAACCTGCCAACACCTTGTCTTACATTACTATGTACATGAAAGATTAAGGACATTACAGAAATGTGGGTTTAGCATTTGATTGAATCAGAGAGGGTTCTTTGATTATTTGAGACTTATTATGTACTTTCTCTGATTGTTTCTCACAGATTACTTGAATAATCTTTGCCCTGATTCTGCTGAATATGAAGATACACAAGGTAATTTAAAATAAACATAATAATATTTATTTTGAATGATAACTAACTAGTGACTCATCTAGGAATAGATCTATGAACAACTACATTTTATCTTTGTACTTGGATCTCCATTTAATATTTAGATAAATTACTATTCCAGTTAAGGTTGTTTTGGCCTGAAGGCACTCAGTCATTGGAGACTTCTTGTTAACTGATTTTAAATTCCTAATAATCTCAAAAATAAATCTTCTTGGATACTTGGTAAGGACAATACCTGTGATGATAAAACTCGACATTTTCCTAATGAGAAAATATTATCCTGAGTGGTTCTGCAGTTGTCATTAGGGGATGAAATGAAAATTGGCCCTGATGAACTTATGGATACTTCGCTATTGTGGTCAAGGGCTGCTTGTTGTATAATTTGTATGATACACTGGGCATGTGGCCATGACTTTTCTCCTTAGGTTTCCATGTGGCCCAGCATCTTGTTTGAAGGGTTTTTAATGTGTGTGCTGCCCCTTCCAGCCTAGAAGCCATGTTAATGAGAGAGAAACCAGTAGAAGCTGAAGCCCACAGTATATTTATTTATTTATTTACTTATTTATTATTCAAATTTATATTCCATCCTCCCCACAAGCAGCCTCAGGGTGGATCACAGCACAATATCAAAAACATACAAACATTTCAAACATAGGAAGTATAAATATAAACAAGACAATTTAAAACAACATAAATTAAAACAGAGCACACTATTTATCCTCATACAGAGGTTTCCAGCTGGCACCATTGGTCATGTGCATATGAGTTGTGGAGATTTAATATGTTATATAAATATATCTCCCCAATAAATCTTAGTATGAATAAATCAAGGTTTGAAGCCCAGAAAGTTCTCAAATACATTTTGTGAACACACAGAAACAAGCAAAAAAAAAAAAAAATCCATTCTAAATCTAGGTTTGTATCTCTTACTTTACTGAGATTAAATTACAATGTTTAGATTCAATCCTGTGTTCCTGTGTTATGTATATGGTTTTCTAAATATGTAGTCTTCCTTTTATGAAGTGTGCTTACACCTTTCTGCATCATTTCTCTTCCCAGCTGCCTTGCTCCTTATCTCTGAAGTTGCAGACCGAGCCAATGATAGCATGCAACAAGGGGTGAGTGCTGACATGCCACGGTGCATCATAATCGGTAGCACATTTCTGATATCTCAGAACCTCTGCACAATTAAATGTTCAGGGGGGGGGGTTTAAAAAAGAAGAAGAGGAGAGATGGAAGAAACCCGAGATGAGATCAAAGTGTTTTTTTAAGAGTATATAGAATCACAACCTAAAAGTATGATCATATATGTATGTATGTATGTATATATATACACACACACACACACACACAGAGAGAGAGGTCATTTCGGGGGGGAACACAGTTCCCCCGGGTGAGGTACAGGGGGGCGGGGCACATCACGAAGCCCCCCCCCTGCTTCCGGCTGCCCCGCTTCCGGCCCTCATTCAGCCAGGAGGAGGCAGGAGAAGAGGGAGAGTAAGTTGCTTCCTCCCAAAAATGGCTTGCTACTAAAGCAATTACACTTCATTTTTTCGAGCAGTTTCTTCCCTGGACCCGTATATATATATACGGGTCCAGGGAAGAAACTGCTCGAAAAAATGAAGTGTAATTGCTTTAGTAGCAAGCCATAGTTGCCAAAATATGGCTCACATTAGCATGAGTTATCAACAAGAAGATATGGAAGGATACAGTGAGGTTTGCCAGTCATTTATATATATATATATATATATATATAAAACTTAGATGTAAATTCATCCACTGTTGATGAGCCTTGCTTCTGAGTATATCATTGAACTGCATTAGTACTTTTCTCATGAATGCAATTGGCCTTGAATATCCACATACTTTTAAAATGACTCACTTCCACTCGGTATGCTGGACTAAAAAGATCCTTACGAGAATATGCCCTTGAGTCCTAAAATGGCTTTACAATCATTCTAAAGAGCTTGTTGTTTTAGAAAAGAAATCTGATTTCCAAAACTCCTTCTGACAGTTTGTGGTACACCTTCACAGATTAGGGTTGCCAGGTTGCCACCTGGAAATCCTCACCGTAATTTTAAACTCCTTGATGTAGCAGTTCCTTCTCCAGTCTGTCATCCACTCCTTTCCCCCATCTGCTGTAACAAGCAGGACTCTTGGGATGTGGCACAGCAGGCAGAAGGCAGAAACAGATGACAGGGCTGGGCTTTTGCTGCCTCAGGAAATGTGTAGATAAGTGCTGATCTATGGCTTGCAACCTGGCAACTCTAATTTTTCTGCATCCTAAAATACAGAGGCTGCAGCTCTCACAAGAGCATATGGACACCGGTCCTCAGACTAAGTGTAAGTGCTCAGCAATGCAATAACACACATTTTCCAGATACGACTTTTTGATGAAAAATGGATGGACTTCAGCAGCTTCTGTTGAACCATATGCTGGAAAACTGTTCTACTAATTCACCTGTCCTTGCAAGCTGTTGGGGGATCCCACAGGGAACTTTATTATTCTTTCAGAAATGAAGATCCTTTGGGAGAGAAGGGTGCCAAGAGTCTGTGAGGCAGATCTATTCACCACCTTGCGTCTGGTTAGATGAGTCTCACCTTTCCCTTACTGTCATTTAGCACAGACGTGCCTATGGAGTGGAAACAAACTTTTGCTGTTTAAAAATGAAAAACCATGTGCTTTGTCCAGATGGAAAGTCAAAACAGCTGCCGAAAACAGAGCCAAGAAGCTCCCACTTTTCCACACAGATGGGAAATCTCTGATTGTGGGATTTTTTTCAATCCATTCCTCCGAAACATGTGCCAAGACCAAGCGCAGCCAACATATTCATGAACTGTTTTACCAACCAGATTTCACTGATGGTTCCTTTGAACCAAAGACAGGCGAGCCCTTGCATAGAAAAGCCTGTGGATATTGATACACCATTGAAGGGAAAACTGGTTCATTGAATGGAAACAAAACTTCTTCGTCACGATGCCTTCTCATCCATGAGTAGGGCTGCCACTTAAAATAAAACTGTTTGTCTATGATTTTCAACAGGGGTCATTTCCTAGAAAAAGAGGTGCAGGAGCTTATTAGCATAACTCATTAGCATAACTTATTTGCATATGACACACACCCTGACATCACCGGAAGTGTGTCAGAAGGCAACATCCACCGCTCAGGCTCCACTGGACTGTTTTGGATTGTGTTGGGTTGCTAGCCATTGGGGGGGGAGGGGAATGTGCATATCTGTCCTCGCAGAGGAGGGAGAGCTTGTACCTAAAAAAAACTTGGTCTTAAAGGTGCCACTAGACTGTTTTGGACCGGGGGGTCTCCGCAACTTACCTGACTGCTTCTTGCTCTGACTGAGGGCTGCTGGGAGCAGGGAGTGGGGCTTGTTGCATGTGCCCGTCCCCTGGGCTCTTTACTGACGGAGCTCCGCTCCTGTGCGCTCCTGCAGGAAATGACCCCTGATTTTCAATATAGCAGCATTTTGCCTTGGATCCTGCCTAGAATTTTTACAGCTGTAGATTGCCCCTTCCCACAGCAGCCCCAAACTCTCTGCAGAAGGCAGCTTCTGGGGAATGGGGGTCCCCCGGGATTACTTGGGAGGGAGATTAAAAGTCTCCTGAAGGAGGAACAATTGGCATAAATCTCAAACACTCACATCCCCTGCATGTCCATGAAGATTCTAGGAGGAATGCAAGCCAGTTAAAAGAAAATTCCATAGGTGAAGTATGGATAATATTAACTTATCTTTTATCCTCAAAGGAAATGAAAGAACATTCTTTTAACTAAACTATTCATAGAGGATAGATCTATCAATATAATCAGTCACAGTGGTTACAATATTCCTCCATGCAGAATGAGGATTCACCAAGGAATCTGACACCATTTGAACTATAATCCTCTGAGCTGAATTAGAATTCATAGGGTAGTTTGACACCTTCTCCCAAGGACTTGGAATTCCTCAGTCAATGTGGTCAATCAGTATTCCTCAGTCAATCCTCAATCAATCCTCAGTCAATTCCTCAGTCAGTAACATAGCAACACATGTGATGCCCCAGCCATTACAAGTTTTAACTAGCTTAACAAATCTAGGGAAATTACATTTTCTCAAATTACAGTTATTGTGAATAGTTTCTGTACTCTTTTTCATTACATTTGAATTTTACATAATTATATCTCATTTTGTACTTTGTGTATTTCATAGCCCTTTGAACCTGCTGTTTTATTTATTTATTTTAAAAAAATCTTCATAGTCTCATTCACAAATATCTTCCTAGTAAGGCCCTACTATGTTCAAATGAGTTCTAGGCCATGAAAACTTACACTAAAACAAAAAGACAGTAAATGTAGGATTGCCAAACTCCAGGTGGTGGCTGGATATCTCTTGCTGTTAGACGTGATCTCCAGGTGACAGAGATCAGTTCACCTGGAGAAAATGGCCACTTTAAAAGTGGGACTCTATGGTATTATATCCCACTGAAGTCCCTCTCCTCCCCAAACCTCACCCTCCTCAGGCTCCACCCCCCAAAATCTCCAGCTATTTCCCAACCCAGAGCATGCAACCCTAAGTAGACCTCTGAAGAGGCATAGGCTTGGATTCTGTGGCACTTTGCTTATCTCCAAATCCTGCAGAGGCTTTCCTCTGCTACAATGGTAGCTTCCTCTGCTTCTAGCACCTCTGTGTGCATAAGGGAACATTGATGTTATGCATGTGGAAGTGGTAGTTGCAGAGGAAAGGAAAGGAGCGCTGCAGCGGAAGAAAGCCACAGCAGCCTGAAAGAAGCATGAGGGGAACAATGTCATAGGATCCAAGCCAAATAGAGATTTCTGTGCCTTCATTCCCTGCTTGTGGGTTTCCTGGATGTACCTGCTTGACTACTGGATTAATTACAGATTAAAATTGAGGACCACCATGGGCGACAGCAAGCACATCGAAATTTAGAAGCTGAAGCTTCATTTTTGATTTTTTGACATAGAGATAAAAGGTAGGGAAAGGACAGTTTAGGGAGAAAGAGAACAAAATATATTTCATTTAACATAAGAACATAAGAGACGCCAATGTTGGATCAGGCCAAAGGCCCATCCAGTCCAACACTCTGTGTCACACAGTGGCCAGAAATACCAGTGCCATCAGGAGGTCCACCAGTGGGGCCAGGACATTAGAAGCCCTCCCACTGTGACCCCCCCAAGCACCAAGAAGACAGAGCATCACTTGCCCCAGAGCCCCTATCTATACCTTGTGGCTAATAGCCACTGATGGACCTCTGCTCCATATGCTTATCTAATTCCCTTTTGAAGCTGTCCATGCTTGTAGCTTTACTTCATTTACTTGTAGCTTTACTTCATTTACAGTCTGCCTTTCTCTCACAGAATCATACCCATGGCAACTTCCCACGAAACACTTTCTCTCTCCCTCTGCCCTAATCCTAAAACTACTTTACGGAGTTTTGAGGCACTAAACAAGGTGTATGTAAAAGCACAATTTTAATAGAATAAGAGATAGGGAAAACACTATTCTTGGCATGACTTTCAAGTTAAGAAAATTACAGGTCTTGCTCTTAACTAATGAACTGTTTAATTTGCCTTTTAGAATAATTATCACCCCCAGTTCAAGGGAGAATTTTCTGTTTAATGAAGGTATCAATTTCTCTCAATGAAATATTGACCAAAAAAATGTAATCTGGGGAAAGTTATATAAAGCAGGGCTTTTAACAAAAGGTCTGTGTACAGGATTGCCCTTTTGCTGGACTGATTGAAATTCAGTCCACATTAATCAGTTTATCATATCAATTAATTTATTTAGCCTTTTGTTATTGGCCCTAAGCAAAACATAATGGGCAGCCATATTCTTTTCCAGCTCTCTTTTATAGGCTGATCCTGCACATGTTTCCTTGGAAGTAAGTCCCACTGTTTTACAAGGGACTTTCCCAAAGTACGTGCACAAACCTGTAGCCTCACTCTTCCAAAAAGCCATCCACGCAATTAAAATTGTCCAAATAAACAGAGAAACCATGCCAGAAGAAAAAAGGATTATCAGGAGACCGTCGGTATCAATGCGGCAGTTGTAATTAGAGTAATTCATATAAAACTCATCCCTTTCCTACCCAAGAGCCATCTAGCATTGTCACTTTAATGGGAACAGAGCCCTCATTCGATTAACTTTGGATACCGTACTGTGGGGAATTACACAGCTTGCCAGGGCTCTTTGATTGTGTCCAAGCAGCTCAGCACAGGTAGGCAGTTAATAGGGTCAGGCTCTGGTAATGAGCTCCCCGATCTCGGCAAAGCATTTGGAAGAGGAGGGACAGTTTCATTAGGCACTTACAATGTAACCTTTAAGACCACAGCTACAAATCTATTGCACCTGAATCTAACCCCCCTCCCCAAATAATTCCATCAATGGTCCTATGACATTAAAAGGTGATTTCAGTTACCCTTGTCACTTTAGCAATTATGTAGTGGCAGAAGGTGGGTGGGAAAGAGGCACACTTGTGTAAATTAATGATCAGTCCCATCCTTCATGAAAATTGGTCTTAGATTTCAAAGCCAATATAAAATATCCCATTAAAATCCAGTTTATATTGCTTAAAGCACTGGAATGTCAAGCCTCTTAAAACCACGCACTTTGAATGTGTGAATTATTCCAACATTGCTGATGCTCATCTACAGGAGAGGAGGAGGAGGTAAGCCCAGTCTATGAATGACAATAAGGTGCTTCTTATCGTCTCTTGGACTGAATGTGTGTGTATGCAACCAACTTATGGCAACCCCGGCAAGGGGCTTTCAAGGCAAGTGAGAAAGCAGAGGTGGTTTGCCATTGCCTTCCTGTGGAGAGTCTTCCTTTGTGGTCTCCCATCCAAGTACCAACCCTGCTTAGCTTCTGAAATCCGATGAGATTGGGCTATACAATGCCACCTTCCCTTCCCCCTTGGACTGAATACTGGAAGTTAAATGAACTTCAACGAATTGAGAACTAACCATAAATGATAATTTATCCATCACAGGAAAATCTGCAGAAGCTGGTGCATATAGAGCACAGTGTCAAGGGGCAGAGCAACCTCCTCCAGCCAGGAAGGGTAAGTTCTACTTAGGCTTGGCGCCTCTGATCATAGATTTGCCAACTTTTTTACCCAGCTGTTTTTTTATGCCTGTAACGTCTGTGTAACAGGTAAAATTTTAGCAACTAAAGCAATGGTCGTTCTCTTCCTGCCTGCAAAAAAGTTCTATCACTGATTTTCTGCTTATCATGCAGTTTTTAGGGTGCCCGAGCTCTGCCTGGGGGAAAAAGGTCCTCAACCCCTAATATTCACATGCAAGCTTGTGTTGTTCGAGAGCCAATTTGGTATAGTGGTTAAGAGCGGCAGACTCTAATCTGGAGAACCAGGTTTGATTCCCCACTCCTTCACATGCAGCTGCCTTGGGTCAGTTGCAGATCTCTCAGAGCTATTCTCTCAAGAGCAGTTCTCTCAGAGCTCTCTCAGCCTCACCTACCTCACAGGGTGTCTGTTGCGGGGAGAGGAAGGAAAGGAGATTGTAAACCACTCTAAGACTCTGAGTGAAGAGCAGGGTATAAACTAGAGCTGATGTGGAAGATCCATGATCAGCCTTTCCTGTACTTTGTTTGATGTCCTTTTATTTCTAAGCACTTATTTCTTTGCTAATTTGGGGAAGCAGCACTGCAAAGGGATTTGTGTCCTCCAAAGAGCTCTAGGCAGCATGCATCGTTCTCCCTTCCTGCTTTTATCCTCATGACAACCCAGTGAGGTAGGTTAAGCTGTGAGAGAATGCCTGCATCTACACATCGTTGGATACTGTGCTATCATTGTGCTGTAGCAGTCATTTTTTCCCTTGCAGACCACACAGCCTAGTGGCAAAACAATTGCTATCGTGCAGTGATAGCACAGAATCCAACAGTGCATGAAGGCACGTGGTTATTCATGATGACATGAAACCACCTTAAACTGAATGAGACCATTGGTCCATCAAAGCCAGTATTACTTTGACTAACAGCAGCTTCTTTGGGTCTTAGGCGGAAGGTTTTCACATCACCTGCAACCTGATCCTTTTCACTGGAGATGCCCAGAACCATCTGTGTGCCAATCAGATGCTCTGTCACTGAGCCACAGCCCCTCCCTATTCAGCAAGCTTTATGGTGGTGGAAGGATATGACCCCCCCCCCCGTTTCCCAGATCAACATTCTTTCTGCTATACTTCACTCTCTCTCTCTTTGATATTTTTTTCCAGTGCCATTTCTCCAACCTAACCACTGCCCTGAAAAAAAAATCCCACTAATAAAATTGGGGAGGGGGGGGGATAAAGATACTGTTCCTGTTTTCCCCCTTCCCAGAGAGCTTGTAGCAGCTTCAAGGGTGGAAGGAATCTATATCTGGAAAACAGCATAGAAGGAAAACATTAAGCACTCCTTTTCCCTAGCACTGCTTGCCAGATCAAATTAGCTGCTCCGTGCAGTTGCTTTGACACTGAAAAAATAAGCCACGGGATCCTCTGTGTCACACCTACTTTGTCCCAAAAAGACAGAGTATTTCAAGGATGCTGGAACTGGAGCTTTATTCCAAAATGTCACAATGTTGAACGTGCAGTTTCTTCCTCGAGTAAGTGCTCTGCAGGGCTGGGTTACATTTTATGACACCAATGCCACTTCCTACCCTTCCAGCATGGAAGCTGTCATCATGCAAGAGGCCGTTGTCTGCCAAATATGTGTTTCTTCTTCAGCAGTCACGGACTTCATTTACAGCAACCAACAGTGATTGCACTTTTCCTCCTTATGCTTACTATACCATGACACTGTGTATGAGTAGATACCTGGTCACACAGTGAGCCCCTGAACACGGAATGGTATCCTCCAAAGATGCCTCTGTTTCTTTCCACAGGTGTTTCTTAAAGAAGGAACGCTAATGAAAGTGTCTGGGAGAAACAGGCACCCACGACACTTGTTCTTGGTAAGGATGCTTTATATACTTACTTATCTCTGGCTGGATCCACACATCACCGGATATTGTGCTGTTGTAATCGTTTCCTTACTAGGAGGTGAAAGATTACAATATGGCATGTTATCTAATCTCATGTGGATCCTACCTCTGTCATACTGCAGGCATAAGTACTGAAAAGTAAAGGTTGGTAATGAAATCTATTAATTGACCTCCAAATGTGACTTCCAAATTATAGTTCAGAAGGGGCTGCCTTCTTGGCATTAGTGCTGATTCAGTACCAAAGCATTCGGGTGATGTTACTTCCAGCAAGGCTTCTTAGTTTATCTGAGTCAAAGCTCTGGGACCTGTGGAGGAATAAGAATGTAAAGGGTGCCCCTCAGCACATGTAGTGTGTGATCTCAAATCAATGGATGCCATTTGCCACAAATGTGAGATTTGGAAGGAAGGGTTTCCAGGTACCAGTACATTCTCATGCAGTGCTGTTCTTGCCAGTCTTCTATCCTGTCCCAGTAATTTATTTATTTATATTAATTGCACGTATAGTCCACCTTTCTCACTGGGACTGAAGTTGGATTACATCATTAAAAACAATGCAACAGAATTCACAAACAAGAACCGTAGCCTTGTGGGAGTTTTCCTGTCCTTGTCAAGCAGGGCATTCGTTTGGGAACCACCACAGAGAATGTACAAGTACAAGCCGCTGTTGATCTTACCCATTTGCGGAGTAAATCCTTCAGAAGGTATAGCTCACATGAGCAAAGCTGTCTCAAGAGAACATAAGAGGAGAGGCAGTCCAGCATCTATGTGGGTCATAGGCCAGGAAGCTCTTGGTAGGTGATGAACTGACCCCAGAAACTAATTGGTAGCTGATGGAATGACTGCAGAATAGGTGTAGTATGCAATTCTGCCTAGCTCCCAATAGCAATCAAACCATGGCATTCTGTTACGCTGGAGAAGTAGTAATGGGAAGTGCAGACCTAGCCTAAGATCTGATTATAATTGTCAGAGTTTGTCCTTGCCATCATAGTTGCAGAATGGAGTCCATGATATAGTAAAAATAAGGCATGCATTGAAATGAGAATAAAGTTATGATTGGAGAGTTACGAGGTCTCTTTTTGAAAGGAGACTCAACTTTGAGCTTCTGCTGAACGTTATGCAGCTCAGACTGAAATTCACTGTTAACTGCAGGGAGGAAGTGATGGTAATCCCTTGGCAGCTGGAGATATTGTAGAAGCCAGTTCTTGGGTCTTTAAGAGACACCAGTGACAGTTTTGTCTGCTTCCTTGCCAGAAATGGAATGGCAAGGTCAGGCACATACATTGTTGTCAGTGATAATCTGCCACAGTCAGACCGAAAAATAGAAACCAAATCAAACTAAAAGCAAGACACCAGGGCCACCCAGTCTCATGATTTTTTTAAAAGGTTTTCAAGCAATGAACCATTTTTAAAAAACATGAAGAACCTGTGTGGTATTTCCCAGCACCATCAGCTGAGCAGGAAGATACTGAAAGGTTTGCTAGGGAAACTGCAATATGGATAGCTATACCAAATCTACATAATAAGTAATAGAGCTTTCATGGAAAGCACATGTCCGTTTTAGGCAGGCATCAGGCTTTGGCTACAGTCAAGGTAGCATTTCCCCAAATAGTGGCATTCTGCAGGAGACTAACACAGACTGCATAAATATGTTTATTGGAAATAGTCCCACTGAATTCACGGGGGATACTTCTTTTCAGGTTGCTTCAGATTGTAACCCGAAAGGCATTTCATACATATATGCTGTGTGTTTTGTAGCTGGAGAGCTCAGCTACTTTAGCCACTTAAAATGCAATCCTTAGCAGAGTTCTATTCTCTGAAAAAGAGAATCCAACATCCAAGCACTGGGCTCAGGAAATAGGAAAGGTATCCACTGAAACAGAACAAACATCCTGCCAGGATACACTAGGTTCTCAGTACCAGACAACTCTGTGGCTGTGAAATATGCCCAGCCCCCTTATTTAAAACCAAGATCTTCCCCACTGTATACCACTGTGTGGCAGTTCTCAAACCATGGAGTAGCACCCCCTTTGCATGTGACAACAGGGGGAACCTGGAGCTAGCAGTGCAAATTGTGTGCTTAACTAGGACCACTAGATAAGTGGTGACTTCCTCCTCCACTGGCTAAGACCTGATTGACCTTCCCCTGGCAAGTAGTCCTTCATCCATCCACACTGGATTTGTGGGTGTGAGTGTAGCCAGAATGCTTCACTATCTCAAAATGACTTGAGAAGAAGGGTTCTCAGAACGACCTGCTGCTTTATTCTTATCTGTCCTGTATGTGGCTGTAGGAAGGGGTTAGAGAGCTCTAGCTGTCTGCTTCTTCTGAGAGCTGGTGTGAAATTCCTTCGGTAGTCCACAGATCCTTGGATGCAACAGCTGTCTGTTTGCTTCTAACCATCTGCATGTTCACCTGAGAAACAGATGTTGCCCTGCTGGGTTGAGGAGAGGGAAGAAAGTAGAATGAGGCTCCAGTCACACGGGCCGGAAAACGCGGGGGGGGGAGCGTGGCTGTTTGCCCCGGGGCAAAATAACACATGGTTGCACGAGCAGACGTCCCTTGGAGGTCCTGTGGTTAGGGGGGAGGTGCTGATCACAGGACAATCCTGCGGTGCTGCAAAGAAGCGGGGCCGCGGGGCAAACAGGGTTGTGGTTTTTTTTAAAAACTAAAGTGTGTGCATGCTCCGTTGGGTGCTTGTGCACATCCGTGGAGACTTGGGGGGGGGGGAAACCCTTTTTGCGAGGGGACATGGGTGGGCACCGGAACTACCACCAGAAATGCGATCAGATGCCCGCCCATGCCCCGCGGTTTCCGGAAACTAGTACCTCGGAGATACTAGTTTTTTACAGAGCATCTTCGGAGTGAAGCCTCGGGTGTGTCACAGGAGTTCTACACTTCCCAGATGTGACGGTGAGATTGCTCCCGGAAAATCCACCTGTCTTCCGTCTCTCTAGCGTGCCTAATGCTCCGTGTGACTGCAGCCTGAGTTTAGAAGGGAGCCCAAGTTCAGAAGTTTTAAAAACACTAAACAAATGCGACTTTTGGGGGGTAGTTTTGTTCCCTGTCTCTCATCACCCTTCTCTCTTTGTGCATTTAAAATTGTGAGCTTTGGGGATGGGAAAAATGGCTTTTCATACGTGCATGTGTCCTTACTTCCTCTGAGTTCTTAAGAAAGAGGAGGCCGTTCATCTAAGTAAGTAAAATGAATGTATCCTGTTGCAGAAGTCACCTTGCAGTTGAGACAAGTAATCACAAGTGCAGACATATGACAGAGTGACAGGCAAAGCCGACTGTCTTGTACATGCCAGTAATATTGTTGAATCCAGTGTTTCCTGACAGTGTGATTCAGTGTGCGTGTCCCTTGAATCCAATTACTGCTTGTGCGGAGTTGAAGGCTCATTTGAAAGAATGTCAGTTTGCTGGATCTGGCACCCCCCTCCCTCTTTCCACTCTAGCTTCCTCTTCTGGCTTTTTCTTCCATTCATGTTTCTTCTTGTGGCTTTCTTGTGGCTTCAGGATCTGCAGGCACACGGAAGTTTATACCTTGAATAAAACTTTGTTGGGCTTAAAGGTCTTAAAGATGCCACTGGACTCAAAATTTGCTCTGCTACTTCAGACCAACACGGCTACCCACCTGAATCAGGATGTTTGTGCAAAGACTACTTTCTGGTGGACATGGAAGGCTGCCATCTTCTGGAAGATTACGTTATACCAGTTTTAGACATTCACAATGGAATTAATGGGGCCTTGAAATAAATTACATTTAGAACTTGCTTTTGCATGTCCCCTAAAAATTTTTGCACCCACTGAATTTAGTGGAATTGAGCAAAAATCAGTCTTGTAAATGAGAGAGTTATCTTAACAAGAATTTTCAGCTAATGGACATCAGTCTGTTTGGATCAAATGATACTATATATTTTTTGTCCTGACTTTTATGAAAAATACAAATGTGGTGGTACCTATAACATTGTTGGGGACACATCATTTACAGCAATACTACAGATTTATGAGGAATATCAGCTGCTGCTTAAAATGGCAGTCCAGTGTTTGTGTTCTCTTAGATGTTACGTTTCGAACGCTTCTGTCTCACATACCAAATATGTTGTCCCCTTTGTCTGTGTGACTGCCATGTTGTGTAAAACGGGCAGCATGCATATTTGGCAGGTTCAGTACAATGCTACCTGAGAATCAGATTTTTGATGTTAGGCATTTGTGCTTACCAAAGCTGCAGAATGCACACAAAATGGCAATCGTGCTTACTGAGAGGATCAGTCATAGTGTGCTTTCACAGCACATGAAATAAGAGTGCCGGAAATGGAAGGCCTGAAAAGGGGACAGAGTGAGTGCCAACCACATGGCCACCATTTGGTTCCATTTTGTCTCCTCTGTTCATAGGGCAACAAAATGCCACCGCTGCCATTTATTTACTACAACCTGCCTTGGCTTTCTTGGGGCTTCTCATTCTAGTCTGTGCTTGCCAGGTCTGAGTTGGAAAATACCTGGAGACTTTGGGGGTGGATCCAGGAGAAGGTGGGGTTTCAGGAGGGGAGGAGCCTCAGCATGGTACAATGCCATAGAGTCCACCCTTCAAAGCAGCCATTTCCTCCACAGGAACGTATCTCTGTCAGCTGGAGATCAGTTGTAAAAGTGGGATATGTTCAGGCTAGGGTTGCCAACTGTGTCTTACCTCACCGGCAGGGGACTCCTGGGAGATCCTGGTGTGTGTGTGTGCGCAAAGCGCACGCACGCCGCATTGCGTCATGACGTCACTGCCCTGTGACGCACACGCCGGGGCTGGGTTCCCCCCGGGGCCCGATTTCCCGGTGTCTGGAAATGGGCCTCTGGGGCGGGGGATTTTCCGCCCCCCGGGGGGATTTGGCAGCCCTAGTCCAGGCCCCACCTGGAGGCCTGCAAACCTAGTGCTACCTCTCTCCACCTGGCAGGTTTCTCATATGCCACCTCAGCCTTTACC